TTAGGAAGTTTAATAATCTGTAAGGACAAGTTTCGAAAAAGGTCAGCTATAGGAATTCCAAGAAAATTTCGATAACCTTAAAGAAGTCCCGAGAAATTCGAGGAAAGTTCAGTTTAAAGATAAGCACTTCAGGAGAATTGCGAGAACATCGGGAATGCTCCAAGAACAACCTCAGATCAGAAAACCTCAGGGTAGACAAATTTGAATTAACCATTAATTTTAGAAAAACAAACATTCAAGAAACACTTTTAAGAAGTTCTGAGCTCTTCAGCGAAGCTCACAGAACTTCAAAGGAGCTGGGAGATTTTTAAGGCAGTCGCTTCATCTTCAGGAATGTTCCACATTATCTTTAGAAAAGTTTCTAAAACTATTAGGAAATTTCAAGATATCATGGCAAATCCAGAAAATTGTGAATTTTCTGAAATTTTCAGGAGTTCCATAATTATCAAGAAAATTTGCCAGAACATTACTGAAGGTCCGAGATCTTATTGACAATTTAGGGAACTTCAGGAAAGCACCGAAAACTTCAGGGCAGGTCTTAGAACAAATCAAGCTGCAGATCGGCCATAGGCAATTAAAATGAGCAAGTTTAACAAACAGTAGAGATTTTAAAAGATGATTCGTGGGCATCATGGAAGTTTCCAAAACTTCAAGAAAAATTCCGGGAGCTTCAGAGAAGATCAACGTTGAAGTACAATTAACGTCAGGAAAAGGTGCGATCGTTTGACAAGTTCCGAGAAATTCTGGGAAGTATGGAGAGCCTTAGGAAATTTTAGATCATTTTAGGGTAGTTCCAAAAATTTCACGGAAGCAGCGAAAACGTCTGGCAAATAATCTGGACTTATAGGAAAGTTTAAAGATCTTGGAGGAATAAGTTCTGAATAACTATGTGCAGTTTGATGAACTTTGACGCAATCCATGAACTTCAGTGGAAGTTTCAAAATTGCATTAACTGTTTTGTTTTAACTTCCAGAAAATAATGGGAACTTTAAAGAAGTTCCGGAAATCCTAAGCAAGCCCATAGAACTTTTATGAAAACTTGAGGACCTTCAATGAAGTTCATAGAACCCGAGTGAAGTTATGGAAATTCTAGGAAAACTTTGAGATCTTCAGGAATGTTCCAAAAACTTTCGGAAAATTGCAAAATGTCCAAAGAAGTTCAAAGATCGTCAGGATTATGCAGAAAGTTCCGTAAACTTCAGGGCAGTTTCAAGTATGGTGGGAACTTGAGGAAGATCATTGCAGTTCCATTTGTTTTTCAGGAAGATTGAAAAAAGTTTTGAAGGGATTTCAGTATTCTGGAAGTCCAGAAAACTTCTGAAAAATTCAATTAGCAGAATTTTGGAGGAGTTGGGACATTTTTAGGCAGTCGTTTTATCTTCAGGAATGTTCCTCATTATCTTCAGAAAAGTTTCTAAAACTATCAGAAAATTTCAAGGAATCATGGGAACTCCTGAAAACTTCATGAATTTTCCAAAAATTTCAGGAAAATGGTGGGGTCCCCACGAAAGTTCCATAATTATCAGGAAAATTTGCCAGAACACTACGGAAGGTCCGAGATCTTATTGACAATTTAGGGAACTTTAGGAAAGCACCGAAAACTTCAGGGTAAACAATTCAAGCTGCAGATCGGCCATAGGCAATTAAAAACAGACGTACTTAGCTTTAATCTTTAACTCAATTGTATGTCAGCAAGTTTAGCAAAGATTAGAGATTTTAAAAGATCATTCGTGACCATCATGGATGTTTCGAAAACTTCGAGAAAAATTCCGGGAGCTTCAGAGATGATCAACGTTGAAGTTCAATTAACTTCAGGAAAAGGTGGGATCTTCTCAAAAGTTCTGAGAAATTCTGGGAAGTATGGAGAACTTCAAAATTTTTTAGATATTTTTTGGGTAGCTCCATAAATTTCACAGAAGCAGTGAAAACGTCTGGAAAAAAATCTTGACTGATAGGAAAGTCCAGAAAAAAGGAAAAAATTCGGGAGCTTAAGAGAAGATCACCGTTGAAAGTCCAATTAATTTCAGAAAAAGGGGGGAACATTTAACAAGTTCTGAGAAATGTTGGGAACTATGGAGAACTTTAGGGTAGTTCCAGAAATTTCACGGAAGCAGCGAAAACGTCTGGCAAAAAATCTAGACTTATAGAAAAGTTTAAAAATATTGAGGAATAAGTTCTGAATAATTATGAACAGAAGAATTTCCGGGAATCTTAAGCAAGTCCATTGAACTTTTATGAAAAAGAAGTCCATAGAACCCCAGTGAAGTTTTGGAAATTCTAGGGAAATTTTGAGATCTTCAGGAAAGTTCCAAAAATGTCCGGAAAATTGCAAAATCTCCAGAAAAGTTCAAAGTTCCTCAGGATTATGCAGAAACGTTTTAATTCAAGTTCCGTAAACTTCAGGGCAGTTTCAAGTATGGTGGGAACTTCAGGGAAGATCATTGCCGTTCCATTTGTCTTCCAGGAGGATTTAAATATGTTTTGAGGAAATTTCAGTATTCTGGAAGTCCAGAAAACATCAGTGAAGGTTAGAAATCGTCAGAAAGTTTTCCGGAATTTCACAGAAGATCGCCATGGAACAACAGTATCAAAAACTTCAGGAGAATCGCAGGAACTAGCGATAAATTCCGAGAACATCAGGGAAGATCGAAACCTCAGAGCAGTTTTGATATTTTCAGTAAAGTTCTAAATATGTCAGGAAGTTCTAAAAATTCCACACAAATTGTGACATTGTGGAACTTCAAGAAAACTCTATGAACATTAGAAAAAAATTGGAACCTTTCTGGAAGAGCAAAGATCATCAAGCAGCTCCATTATGTTTAGGAAAACTGTGGGAACTTGGAATGCATATTGAAGACATCAAAGATGCCCAAGCATTTCAGGTAAGTCCAATGAACTTCAAGAACTTCCCTTTTTAAGACGCTAGAGAATTTTAAGGAAATTTAGAGATCTTAACGAAAGTTACGCGAACTTCAAGGCAGTTCCGAGAACTTTTGGACAAATAAGCGATTTTAAGGGCTGCTTTATGGACACCTGAAAAATTGCGGAGCCTCTGAGAACTTTTGGAAAGTTTCGGGAACTTCTGGAAAACTTCGAGAATTTTAGGAATGTCTCTATATTTTCAACCGTTACATCCGTGACGGCTGATTTGCTGGATTAAACAACCATTCTACGTTTTGGCCATTAAATTTAAAATAGGTCAATTTATCCTTTTGTCCATTTTGACCTTTTGTTCATTTCTACCTTTTATTCATTTGGACCATTTGTTCCACGAAATGGAGAAAACGTCGAAATGGACAAAAGGTCGAAATGGACAAAAGGTCGAAATGGGCAAAAGGTCGAAATGGACAAAAGGTCGAAGTGGACTATAGGTCGAAATGGACAAAAGGTCGAAATGAACAAAAGGTCGACATAGACAAAAGGTCGAAATGGACAAAAGGTCAAATGATATTAAAAAGGGCTAATGGTCGAAAAGGACAAATGGTGTAAATAAAGAAAAGGTTGAAATTGACAATAGGTCGAAATAAACAAATGATCGAATTGGACAAATAGTCGAAAGGACAAAAGGTCGAATTAAAATTTGACGTACAAAACGCCGAATTAAATAAGATAGGAAATTTATTTAATGGACGAAAAATCGAAATGAACAAATGGTTGAACGGAATTTGGTCTAAATTAACAAATGGTCGAACGGAATTTGGTCTAAATTAACAAAAGGTCGAATAAACGAAAGGTCGAATGAACAAATGGTCGAATTCAATTTAATGGAACAAAACGATGAATTTCAATAGCCAGCAAATTTGCTGGCCACTGAGCCGTTCCGTTTCGAAGGGTCAAATTTTCAGGTGTTCCATTTCCTATTGCCTAGCTTGGAACTGTCCAACCACGTCCAAAACATTGCTGCTCGACTCCACGAAAGCACTACCGACTAACAAAATTAACCAAATGTGCCGACATTGGCAGCAACTTCGTCGATCCATTTTACCACCTCGTCATCACTCAGTCAGCCGGGGCGCTCGGATCAACTGCTGGGAAGACGCGGCCGGCAGTCAGCGGCAAACAACTTCGCTCATCATTCACACGTGGCATCCCTCCTCTTGCCCTTCACGCTTTGACGTAGGCGGTGCAAGATGGATTGGAGTTTCGTGTTTGTTCTGAACTGCGGTGAGCCCATTGTTCGTGGGGGAGGATGAAAAGCGAGTAAAAATCAATGTGAATAGACATGACGTACATGGGGGAGTATGAGAGTCCAGTTCACCCTCTTGATCGTGGTGGTCGTCGTCGTCGTTGGTTTCATTCATTGAGTCTGTCTCGAGCGGTGAATTATTGTGAACCGGAGGAATGGGGGAATGGGTAAGTAGCTCCTAATGGTAACCCAATTAGGACGTTCATTCGTTCGTTGGTTCGTGTGCCTGGTTTGGGGCTGGAGAAGGGGGGAAGATCGATTATTTGGTTTGGCTGTGTGTTCTTTTCTAGTACTGGGCAATTGACGGTAGACGCACATTTTCCGGGGGTAACGATGCTGATGAATGATTCATTAATCCCATTCGGAGAGCAACTTGAATAGCTGCGGTGTTAATTGCCTTTAATATTTTGGGCCCTTAATCATATTTTATTGATATGGGATCTGAAGCACTTTCCCTCGTCTGCTTCGGTTAAGTGAGCCTTTTATTGGAAATTCGATGATTAAGTAGACTTGATAACGAAAGCTTAAAATTGCAAACGATAACTGATGGCTAAAAATTTAAAAGCAATATCATTCGGACGACGGATCCCCAACTACCTTACTCAGTTCCATCTAGCAATACACTATCACCGAGTACATTAATCTATGGCTAATAGCACGGCAATTGATTGGTTCCCCATTTATTTATCTTTCCCCGTTGAACCAATAATTACAGTTTCATAACGATAATTAGCGTCTAGCAATATTGTGTTTATTGTTTTGCATGGATGGGCTAGGAGCAGAGAAGATAGGTAGACAGCCACTCTGTACTTACCCGTGTCACTTTTTCCCGTGGAATGGCCGTCAAATCACAAGGTGAGTCACCGCACTGAAACGAAAAAGGGATGGATAAAACTGTTGTAGTAAAATGGTCATCCTAAAGAACTGGACGAATAGATTGGACGATTGGATTGCGTAGAAATCTATATTTCATTGTGGCTGCGCAATTTTGAACTAGCCCTTTGAATTATATCTCCCCTAGAAGCGGTTCAAAGTTGTCTCTGACGGCCTATAGGCTGACCCTTGAAGTTCTCTGGATACGCCTTCAAAAACCTCTGAAAGAGCTCTTATTTATCTAAGAACATAGCCGTGCTATCCAAGCTGCTATCGCTAGGTTCTTTGTCCAGGGCTTGTTTCTTATCTGGTTGCTTTTCGAGCTGCTTTTGGACCTTTCGTATGGAGCTGGAAGTCATCCGGTGTTCCTTCGTCTTGCATATGAAGCAGTTATTTTTATTCCCGTCATGACATGTATTTCCCATCCAGGGGGAGCAAAGTATGTGTGGAAGGAGTCTCCTTTTACTTCACTATGTATACACCTCGAACACTTGAGAACATGTCAAGGCCCCCATAGCAAATAAATCTCGACTTCCATTGGAGTGCCACTTTAAGAATTCCCTTTGAATTATGTCTCAAAATCGTTTGTAAATTCTTTAGTTTTTTGTGAACTTTGAATCTGACATCACCTGGAAATCTGCTCAATTTTCAACTCTATAAATATGACTTAAATATTCCGAATGTTTAATTTTGATCCGCACATTTTATATCTGTGAATCTGGCATCACTGCGATAGCCGTGAATCCAGTTCGCTGTGCAAGAAGCAATAGAGGCCTCAATATGAGTGTTTTGGATGAAGTGCTGCAGCAGCTTAAATATTTTAAAAAAATCCAGCAGTTTACGCAGCAGACGGAATCGTTTTTTGCTGTAGGAGGAGAAACAATGGCGATTAGGGGAAAATGGAATTTCAAGTTTTACTATTGACTTCTTCCAAGAGCGCTGGTTTGGGGTAGTAAAATTCTCTCACCAGTTTTCGATAGGAATATTGAACAGCGGTCGGTGGGTGAATTTCTACCATTTTTATCATTCTTCGTGCATCTAGGTATTCCGAAAGGCTGTACTATCGTTCGAAAATATTTGATCCTTTTGCCATTTGCCTACCGAATAAGTTGCACTGCGTAGGAGAAATGGCTCAAGTCACGCCGATAGATGGATTAATCTTGGTTTTATGATTGAATTCAAACGAAAAGAGTGCTAAAACGAGTGGCTCCAGACGCAGCAATCGTAACATTTCACCGCAGAAGCCACCGCGAAAAGTAATAAAATGCTACCAGGTTACTATGGCTTCCTCTGGTTTTATTGCTTTCAGCCACCTTCAGATGTATGTAGGACTTCATGTCGGTTGCTTAAAACGGAGCTGATTTTAAGATTCGCAGATTTCATCGGAAAATTGTCATCCGTCGAATTCCTCGTTGATTGCTTTTAAAACTCAACCCCGACCGAAAGCGGTGATTAATTCGGTCGACTGCATCTGACAGGTCATTTGTTCTTCGTTTTAACTTGTCGGTTGAGTGATTTTCATTTAAATTAAGCATAGGCCGAATGCGATTCAGGATTCAGCCGAAAGCATCACTAACTTAAATGAGAAATTACAAAGATAGCTGAGTTGGTCTATATTTTAACAGTCGTGGAAATTTGCATAGAACTCTTTTTTTGGAATGTTCTAATCATTCTTCTTAAATCATTTTCGTTGACATAGTTCTTTAAAGAATTCCTCTAATCAAATTTGAGAACCCTTGTCCGGAATTCCCTTGACATTTCTTCATCACAGTTGAGAAATTTTATGCAGAACAATTCTTACAAAAATCATGAAATTCATCCTAAGATGATTTTTAAATCATTCTTCCAAAATTTCACTAAAGTTTCCTTTCATAATGCTATTTTTAAATCGCTTGAATTCTCCATAGAATTTCCGTACAATTCACCTCAGATAAGTCTTGAGATTCTGCTCAGAATTATCTATACTCATATCTAAATTATCCTTGGAAATTGCTTAAAAATCTTCTCAGAATTTCTTAATTTGATTCCTTAGGGATTTTTTTCTGAATTTCCTTGGAACTATCATGGTTCTATCCTCAGAATTCAATACCCTCGGAATTTTATTGGAAATATTATTAGAACTTTCTAGAATTTCTTCTCAGAACTTATTTGGATTAGTCATTTGAAAAGGACCAGGAACTCTATCCACAATCGTTATGGAATTGTCCTCAAAATCCACCTGGAGCTCTTCATACAAGAGCATTGGATCTTTTCCTAAATTTGACGATAAATTCTTTTCAAAACTATCTTAAAGTCATTTCCAAAACTCCCTTGGAATTTTTCTATGCAATACTTTGGCGTTATCCCTAGAATTTATTCTTATTGCTCCTCAAAATTCCTTTTGAAATTTCATCATTTTCTTAATAGTTATTTAAAGTGACTGTGTCATGTTTTGAGAAAATCAGCGTTTCATGTTTTATTGCTATGAACTACCTCAGTTTTTATTTGAGTGTAGTTTTTTTTCTCAAAAAAAACTTAATTAACTAAAATTTATTTCGAGCTATTATTTTTATCAGATCAATCATTTGCATGTTATGAAAAATATAATTCATTTTTAGAAAACACCCTTTTCAAAATTTACTCTTGAGATCAAAAATATTTAGATAACGAATCAGATCATTGGTAGTAGCGAACATGTTAGCAATGTTTCATTCAAATCTGATGGGGTTTTGGGGAATTCATACAAATTTCCTCCAAATTTCACCCAACTTGCATAAAAATTTCATCCAAATTTGTTCCAATTTTCATCCAAATTTCATCCAGATTACGTCAAAATTTCATCAAAATTTCATCCAAACTTAATCCAAATTTTTCCCAAATTTTTCCCAAATTATATAAAAATTTCATCTCAAATTTCTTACAATTTTCATCTAAATTTCATCCAGATTTCGTCCAAATTTTATCCAAATTTGAGGCAAATTTCAGCCAAAGATCTCCGAAAGTTCAATCGAAGTTCTACTATAGTAATTGTTAAGTTCAGATCAGGCAACTCTCATCGAAACTTTATCAAAATTAAATTCAAATGTCATAATTTCATCCATTTTTTTTTACAAATTTCATCCAAATTTCAAAGAAGTTCTACTATAGTGATTTCATCAAAATTTCATACAAAGTACATAACATTTTCACCCAAATTTCCTCAAAATTTTATACAGGCTAGATCAGGAAAAGTTCATCCAATTTTCACCCTAATTTTATCCAAATTTCATCCAAAATTCATACAAATTACATCCAAATTTCATCCAAAGATCTGCTAAAGTTCAATCGAAGCTCGATCAAAGGAATAGTTAAGTTCAGATCAGGCAAGTTTCAGAGAAATTTAAACAAAATTTAATCCAAATTTCATCAAAACTTTATCCAATTTTCATCCAAATTTAATGCAAATTTTATTACATGCAAATTACATACAAATTACATCCAAATTACATTCAAATTTCATCCAAATTTCATCCACATTGCATCAAAAGATCTGCGAAAGTTCAATTGAAATTGGACTAAAGTAATAGTTAAGTTTGTATCGGGCAAATTTGAGAGAAATTTCATCCAAATTTAATCCAAATTTCATCAAAATTGCATGCAATTTTTATCCTAATTTAATCCAAATTTCATCAAAATTTTGTGGCAAATTTAAGCCAAAGATCTGCAAAAGTTCAATAGAAGCTCTACTAAAGTAATAGTAAAGTTCTGATCAGGCAATTCTCATCAAAATTTCATTAACATTTAATTCGAATTTCATCCAAATTTCATCAAATTTCATCCAAGTTTCATCGAAATTTCATCGAAATTTCATCAAAATTTCATACAAATTTCATTAAAATTTCATCCAAAGATCTGCGAAAGTTCAATCGAAGTTCGACTAAAGAAATAGATAGGTTCATATCAGGCAAATTTAATCCAAATTTCATCAAAATTGCATCCAATTTTTTTCCCAAGGTAATCCAAATTTTATCCAAAATTTAAGGCAAAGTGGAGCCAAAGATCTGTAAAAGTTCAATAGAAGTTCTACTAAAGTAATAGTTATGTTCAGATCAGCCAAGGTTCAGAGAAATTTAATCCAAATTTAATCCGAATTTAATATAAATTTCATCCAAATTTCATATAAATTTGAGTCAAATTTCAGCCAAAGATCATCTGAAGTTCAATCGAAGTTCAGCTAAAGTAATAGTTAAGTTCAGTTCAGGCAAAGTTAAGGTTAATTTCATTGAAATATTACGTAAAGAAATAGTTGAAGTTTCATCCAAATTTGAGGCAAATTTGTAGCCAGAGATCTGCGAAAGTTCAATCGAAGTTCGACTAAAGTAATAGTAAAGTTCAGATCAGGCAATTCTCATCAAAATTTCATTAACATTTAATTCGAATTTCATTCGAATTTCATTCGAATTTCATTCAAATTTCATTCGAATTTCATTCGAATTTCATTCAAATTTGATCAATTTTTTTTTTCCAAATTTCATCCAAATTTCATCCAAATTTCATACAAATTTCGTACAAATTTCATCAAAATTTCATCCAAAGATCTGCGAAAGTTCAATTGAAGTTCGATTAAAGAAATAGATAGGTTCAGATCAGGCAAATTTCAGAGAAATTTAATCCAAATTTCATCAAATTTGCATTCTATTTTCTTCCAAAGTTAATCCAAATTTCATCAAAAATTGGAGGCAAATTTGAGCCAAAGATCTGTAAAAGTTCAATAGAAGTTCTACTAAACTAAAAGTTAAGTTCAGATCAGCCAAGGTTCAGAGAAATTTCATCCAAATTTAATCCGAATTTAATATAAATTTCATCAAATTTTCGTTCAAATTTCATCCAAATTGCATAAAAATTTGAGACAAATTTCAGCCAATGATCATCTGTAGTTCAATCGAAGTTAAGCTAAAGTAACAGTTAAGTTCAGGCAAAGCTTAGAGAAATTTCACTGAAATTTTACGTAAAGTGATAGTTAAAGTTTCATCCGAA